CACCCTGTATAATAATACGGATTTAAAATGTTGATAAAACTAGCTCTCAGACTATGTATACCTTTGCCCATACCTAATTCTTCATTTTTTTTTTTGATTTATTAGCGTTTATTCATTAGCATTGTTCTGGCATAATCCAAATTTCAGCCCAAAATTTTTTTATCGGAGGAAGATATTAAGATTTAGTCCTGTTTTCGTTAAAAAAAAAATTGAAATTAATTACCTATTCCTGAAAAGCGGCGACAGATAGGTATAGGAAAGTATTAAGAAAAGTTGTTCTGTTGCTCATACAGGGTGACACAAGGAATAGGGAACAACCTATAACTTTTTTAATATATAAGTTGAAAATTTGAAATTTGGGGAGCTTAAACGAGGCAACTTTTTGAGTTTTTGAGAAGTAAATTGCGTTACAAGTCACAAGACACAAGTTGTGTCACCCTGTATGTGCCGAATTCAAAAATATACAAGGTGTTCCATTTAAAATAGCGATGTTACTACTGGTTTAGAGTAGAAGCGGCAACACCACATGGTCAAAAATATTTTCAAGGGTAGATCCATCATAGTCGTTTATCCCGGTTTCCAAATTTTCACAATGATCCGCTATTTAGTTCTTAATAAACTAGGGCTGTAAAAGTAACGAAAATTTTAATTAATACTCGTACGTATTCGTTACTTTTGATATTAATATTCGTTACTAAATATTCGTTACTCGTTACTTCCGTTACTCTAGTATTCAGAGGATAGGAAAGATACCTACCTATGCAAAAAAGTAGAAAAGTGACTCATTCGCCATTCGTATTTGTTCCGATTATCGAATAAGTATTGTCGGGATTCGTATTTTCAATATTTGACAATAATAAATATACCCAAACTGTCTAAAAATATTTTTCCTACGAGCGTGCGGAAAAGTTACTTTTCCGCACGATTTTTCGTTTTGAAAGTTGTACTTTTCCGCACGATGTTACTTTTCCGCATGATTTTACTTTTCCGCACTATTTTTTTACTTTTCCGCACGATTTTTACTTTTACTGGAAAGTGTACCCATATTAAAGTTCGGGGGCCCCCTATTTGGGGGGCGGAGCCCCGCGGTGGCCCCATATTTGGGGGGCATAGTCCCGCGGGGGCCCCATTTTTGAGGGGCACAGTCCCGCGGGCCCCTTTTTGGGGGGCCAAGCCATGGGTGCTCCTTTTTGGGAGGGGCGAAGCCCCTTATTTGGGGACACAGTCCCGCAGGGCCCCCTATTTTGGGTGGCATAGCCCCGCGAAGGTAGGGAATCCTAACAATTTTTTTGGCCAATTTAGTTATAGGCCAAGGATCATGAAAAAAAAATCCGGTTCCATTATTTTTTTGTGTATAAAAAAATCGTGCGGAAAAGTAAAATCGTGCGGAAAAGTAAAATCGTGCTGAAAAGTTACTTTTCCGCACGATTTTTTTATTGCTAAAAATGAAGATATTTAGGATCGAATAAATGATTTATGTTACATATTATTTTATATTATGTGCTATTTTGTACCATCATTATAAAATCTTTGCGTATTGGAACATTTTTTTTTGATAAATAAGATGGACAAAAGCACTCGTAGGAAAAATATTGTACCTAACTCTTGCGGAAAATGTCTTTTTCACCCTCGACGGCTTGTCCGAACTCCGCTCCGCGTCGTTCGTGCAACTGCCGTCTCGTGCGGAAAAGTACCACTTTCCGCACTTGTTAGGTAAATAACTATAAAAATTTGTTTATAGAATTTACCTATGAAAAATCTTTGGTAAATGTTCAAAAAAACAAAACATATCGTAGAGATGCGACTGATGCAAGTAACGGAAGACGGTCGACAGTAACGAATCCGTATTTCAAATCCGAGACAATACTCGTTACTCGGTAACGAATACATACGGTTTGTCACAGCCCAACAATAAACGTCTAATACGCCATCCACCGTGGGACACCCATACATAGGGTACATTCAGGCGATGCCAGCGGCTAAGTTCAGCCACTCAGCAGGAACATTATTCTCGAAACAGGGAAGCAGCGTTCTCATGAGAACGAAGGTTCAGTCTTCGTCATATGTATTCATGTTTCCATATTTAATACCTTTTTAGAAGTACCGGTTGTTCTAGTGACTAAACGTATGTCGCTTCTTGAACACACAGATAAAACTAGGTTAGGAATTTCCTATTTGTACATGAAATTGACGTATTAGCAATCGACGTTCGTTTTTGTTGGTAAATATGTATAACACTGACAGCGACAGAGCAATCGTTCTCATGAGAACGCTGTTCCTCGGTTTCGAGAATAAAGTCCCTGCTGAGTTGCTGAGCTTAGCCGGTGGCACCGCCTGATTAGTCGTGTTCTTTCTACTCAGGATCTCACTTATTCTCATTTTACTTCACTTACTCACTTACTTATATATGATTTACTCGAATAACCTCACCACTTCATCTAAAAATGAGATGAGACGAGCCGTAGAAAGAACACGCCTAATGTACCCATAAAGTGCGTTTTTTTTTAAAGATAAAAGTCAAAATGACATGTTGGCAATACAATGTGAAATTGTCAATGCTTTCAAAATTTTTATGTAGAAAAGGCTTGTGTTGCCAACATAGTTACTAAATTTTTGAATTGGGGAATTATCTTTAAAAAAAAAACAGATTTTATATTATACGATATATCGATACGTCCGCGATGATGGAGCACTTCGATACAAATTTGTCATATCCATATGACAAATATATAATTTGTATGTCAGAATTTCATTTGCCATTTCATTATTGTCAATAGTTTCAATATTAGGTGGGTTCGGCTTGCTCACTCCGTGCCCTCCGAGTGACTCCATTCGCACTCCAGCCGATCGGGTATTGCTTTTTGGCGTATTAGGGGTGACTCCATTAGCGTTCGACTATACGAAGTGAAGTACATGGAGTTCCCTCCAAAAGTTCCACCTCGGAGAGAGAATTTTTTAAAGTAAGTATGCGCCGAAGTGAAATGTGAAAACTGTCAAGCTTGTTGTGTTGTCACGATGTGGTTGTAGGGGGCTAGCGTTAATCTGCCTCCCCTCCCCTAACGATCGCAACCCCTGCTATTTTCGCGGGGGTTGGTGCGCTAGCTTTTAAAAGTGGTGCGCTAGCCTGCGCTAGGTGTCCTTATTCTGCGCTAGCATTTTGAGCAAGAAAAATTAACTGGGGGGGGCTAGCGTTAATCTGGCCCCCCCGATCTCATCCCCTGCTATGACCACAGGGGTTGGTGCGCTAGCTCTTAAAAGTTGTGCGCTAGCCTGCGCTAGGTGTCCTTATTCTGCGCTAGCATTTTGAGGCAAAAATATTAACTGGGGGGGGGGGGGCTAGCGTTAATCTGGCCCCCCCCCCCGATCGCATCCTCTGCTATTTCCGCGGGGGTTGGTGCGCTAGCTTTTAAAAGTGGTGCGCTAGCCTGCGCTAGATATCCTCTATCTGCGCTAGCTTTTTGAGTAAAAAAATTCAACTGGGGGGGGGCCAGCTTAACTGAGCCCACAAAAGGGCACAATCAAGTGTAGCGAAAAACCACAAATTGACAAATTAACACGGCGCGACGCCATTATTACGAAATAAAATCACGCAACCAACAACCACGCGCCACAGGCACAACCACAGAGAAGAACAATCCGTTCGACACTGCCGCTGCCCTACCCGCAGTGTTGCCAGATGTCAAATTTAAAATTATCAGGACTTAAGAACAAAATTATCAGATTCCAAGAAAAATTATCAGAAAAAGTTTCTGTCAAATTTTATGATTTTTTTTCCCTATTTTCATTTTTCGGGTTCTAGCTGGGACTCTGGGACTAGTGTTTGGTGCTCGCACTGATATGTCAAAACACTCAAAACCAACAACCACCATTCTTCAATAAATTTTTAATTTTTAACTAAAAATTTGAAAAATCCATATTAGAATTGAAGTTTCAATAAATTATGGTAGATAAGTTTGTCATTATCGATTATTGAATCCTGTCCTGACTGGTACAAAGGCCCGAGCATGCACCTGCGCGATATACTTCGGCTTCACGAATATTCACTATGTTAGTAGAAAGAAGACTTTTATCAATATTTTATTTTATTCTAGTATTTTAGTCGAATGAAAAATTGATTTTTTTTTTTGTTACATGAGAAAATAAATATTGAACACCTTATCTATATACAGGGTGTCCCATGGTGGATGGCGTATTAGACGTTAATGGAAAACTAAAAAGCGGATCATTTCAAAAATTTGGCAACCGGGATAAACGACCATAATCTTCACTTTAAAAATATTTTTGTTTATGCGGCGTTGCCGCTTCTACTCTAAACCAGTGGCAACATCGTCATTTTAAATGGAATACCCTATATATGATTGCATATTTGCATTCTTCGTAAAATTCTGAACAGATTTCATGTGATATAGGTACCCTATACCTAAGTTCAACTGTTTTGGAAATATTGACAGTTGAAAATTGTCTTTTTTCAACTTTGACGGGCTGTAAAACCTGAACGGTTAATTTTAGACGAAAACCAGTTTTACTTTTCTGTCTTAGATTTTTATAAACTATCATTTGACACCAACTTTGAAGTTAATCCATGATTAAAAATTCCAATTAAATTTAATCTCCGGTTGAATTAAAAGTTGGTGTCGAATAATAGTTTATGAAAATCTAAGATAGGAATGTAAAATCGGTTTTCCTCCAAAATTAACCGTTCAGGTTTTACAGCCTGTCAAAGTTGCAAAAAGTCAATTTTCAACTGTCAATATTTCCAAAACAGTTGAACTTAGGTATAGGGTATATCACATGAAATCTGCTCAGAATTTTATGTAGAATCCAAATATGCAATCAGATATAGGGTGTTTCCATTTGAAATAACGGTTTAGAGTAGAAGCGGCAACACCTCATAAACTAAAATATTTTTAAAGTGTAGATTATGGTCGTTTATCCCGGTTGCCAAATTTTCAAAATGATCCGCTTTTTAGTTTTCCATAAACGTCTAATACGCCATCCACCGTGGGACACCCTGTATATTACAGGTATATTTTATGGAATTTGAAATTAGTTTGTGTGTGTGTATGATAGAGAAGTTTTTAGAAACCACACAAAATATTAGCAAATTTAATACCTGGGTCGTAGCGGTCTAAAGACCTATTTAGTTTTGTAAAATAATGTTAGCCATTTTTTAGGTATAGATTAAGTGACCATCCGTCCCGATTTAGGCGGGACAGTCCCGATTTCGAGCTACGAGTCCCGAATTGAATAGGCGTCCCGCTTTTGTCCCGCTTTCAATAAATTCCAACTATATCAACTTTTTATTATTCATTTATTTTAATTCAAATTAAAAAACTATTTCGTTCAATAGTTATATTGAATTGTTAATTCAAATCTATGAGCTTTCGTAGATTTCACAACTCACGAGTCACAATAGTCACAACCATTAACGTTGAACTCTGCTTGAGCATTTTCAATGTCCTCATTGTCCTCTCCTGTTGCATCTTTGTGAAGGACTGTGAAACTTCTTAGGAGGCGGTCTGATATTTGGACGACAATGGGGAGTGATTTGGAAAACGCCTCACGGGCAAATTTCGTTACTCGAGAGAGAAGAAAGATATAAAGTAGAACGAAGGAGGAAGACAGCCAATGACAATGACAGCCGACGAACGATTGACACAAACGACACAAACCAAAGATTGAAAAGCAAGAGGATTGTCCTGTGGGATTGTCTATCATTGTCAAGCGCCGATACCCTTAAGACCGGTCTTTATTCCTCGACTCATACCTACGCGGTCTAAAAGTTGTATGAGGAGAGGATAGTTTTTGAGAAGTTTCACTTCCACCACGTGTAGCTACGGCGAAAATGATTTTTTTTTTATAGTTTTTTTTTTTTTTTTTTGTATATCATTACATATTTTGTATACCTACATAAGTAATTCATCTATCACTACCCAGCCCAGGTACCCAAAAAAACCAAACTGAAAATGGAAACGAGATTTTTGAGAACTTTGTGACTTTGTCCTGCTTTTGGACTTTCAAGATCTGGTCACTTTAGGTATAGATATCTAATTTTGAAAACAAAAAAATCTTTTGTCGATAGATATTTTCGAAAGGATGTTTCTAAAACATTTCAGGACAATCATCCTGGAGATGTTGCATTAGAAACATCGCAGCGATGCACCATTTATGTCGGAAACATAAAGATCTTAATGGTACATAAATGGTATGTTTCTGGCAGATCGGTGTTATTAGGGTTGTGGCATTAGCTGGTGTGGCACTCTTTAAAAAAGCATTTTTAAAGAGACCTGCAATTTGAAAATCGGTCACCACTCTGCCCGGATTATGTCGGAGCTCTTTTTGAATTTCTTGATCGTAATAAATTTGTCATGGGCCAAAAAATGCATTATCCAGGGGCTGGACTCGATGAATATATACAGTGCGTCGGAAAATAAAACAACAGAATTCCATTGCTTTTTGCATAATCCAAAACATCTACAGTTTTGTGACAGCCGTGACCGTCCAGCAGCAAAAGAACTTTATTATTAATAGATGGCTTGACATGTTTAACAAAATTTTGAAGCTATTTCAGGAAAAGCTCGCGAGTCATCCATCCCCTTTCCTGACACAATGCTACGCTTCCAGTTAGTGCATCATCCATGAGTTCATTCTTGAATCTCTTTCTGAAGAAAATAAATAATGGTGGAATAAATGTTCCAGTGGCATTCATGGCGCATACCACAGCGAATGTCTATCCCATTCTGCACTGCTAAGAGTGCCAACCTGTTTACGCCCCTTGGTTGCAAAGACCTTTTGTGGTTTTTTCTGCACCATGCTTAACCCAGACCACAACCCTCTTTACGTATCCAGACCTGAACAAGGTAGACGCGGCAACACTGCTTGGTGGTATGCAGTGTCCCATAATTATGTACAGCTGGAGCGCGTTCATAAACGGTCACCCTAGGGCGAAGGTTATACCCGCTGTCGCCCAAATGCGTTCAAAAATCGCCAAGGTAAAATTAATGACGTCATAATCAGCGTTCATAAATTGATGTGGCGATTACCCCAAAATCGCCGCACTCAAGAGTGCGGTGAAAATTCCCCGACATGCGCAGTCGACATAAGCAAATTCCGAAAACCATTTAAACCAAGAAAAACAGAAAAATATCATTTTTCTTCGGTTATGATTCTATGAGTGTTGATGTTTACGATGGGGACCTCCGCTTGCCCAATCTTGTTGGATATTGTAGGTACATTGTTTTGCCAGAGACATAATATTATTGTGATATTCGTATTTGAATATTACAAAAAGTGACTGCTTTTGCATAGGGCACTATGGAGTTGAATTTAGAGGGATTCAATATTTTGGTTGACGAAAATGGTGCCCCCCTTCAAGATGAAGCGTTTGGATACATTCAAAATAAAATAGGTAATTAAATATAAATGAAGTTTGCTCTCTAAACTCCTTATAATAGGTAGCGGTACATATGCTAGGGCTGGATTAAATTGGTTGAGTTTTCAAATTGACAATCAGGTAATAATGGTTGATCTGATTATATATAATATAATTTTTAAATGAAACAATACTGAAAGTTCCTCTAAAGGACGTAGCATCCTTTTACGGGATTCCAATTGCTGGTTGTAGTGGATCTGAAAGTCAACCTAGCAGTACTATTACTGATACCAGTGAGGCTCCTAATACTGGAGAAATACATATTAAAAACTGGATCCGTGATGCCATTTTAATACTCATCTACCTAAGAGAAAAACATGACGCCCAATTTAGGTCTACAACCATGAAAACAGATAAGTGTTGGAAAATAGTGGTTGATGAACTGAAAGAAAAAGGATATGTAGCCACGATTAAACAATGTAGAGATAAATGGAAGTATCTGAAAGAAAGATATACTAAAAAAAAAGACAACATGAGTACCAAAAGTTCAGGTGCTGAGCTTTTCAGATTTGAATATTTTGAGGAAATGGACAAATTCCTAGGGAAAAATGCTAGTATTGAACCCACAGCTCTAGCATCGTCAATAAAAGGAATGAAGCGTAAGTGTTCTTTCTCTTTGGTTCTTTCAGTTTTCAGCTTCATTATTGTTTTCAGTGTGATACTATCAGTTTTTTCTATGCTTTTATTATTATTGTAGCATATATTAGAAGTAACATGAAATCTGCATGAAATCAAAAAACAAAACACTAGCAAAAATTAAATTAAATGACTCCAGTTTCCATGTTTAAATTGTTTATTTTTTTCCAGGCCCTCTAAGTGAAATAGAGAACAATGACTCTATATTAGAAAGTGGCATATCAGAAGCAGAAACACCCAAAAGGATTAAAAAAAAGAAAGATCCTTGTTGCAGAATATATTTCTGAAGTAAAGAAGGCCATGCTAGAGAAAGAGAGAAAAAAGATAAGAGGTACAAAGAAAATCTTGAAGCCAAGGAAGCAGCCAGAAAATCATTCGAGAACAAAATGGACTGGTTTCTTGATATTCTGTCTAAAAAATAATTTTTAGTTTTGTAGGTTTCAGGTACAATACCTATGCATACGCTTTTGCAGCCAAATAAATACCTAGAGTATTATTATTATATTAGAGTATTACTATTTATTATTATTATTTCTATCTTTACAATGAGTAAGAAAATATCTATTATGTTACGTACCTGTTGATTTTAGTGACTGTTGAAGAATAAATACATTTATTTTTCTTTACAAAATCTGCTTTTATTGTACCTACTCAAATGATAAAGCATAAATGAAGAAAAACATTGAAACAACATCCTTCTAGAGGTAATGTTTTTTTACTAAAAAAAATGTGTTCGAATCTTGAATAGAATAGAAATGTGTTCCTAGAACACTATAGTTTAATTTTAAAATCCTCTGCAAAATATTTTAATATAATAGGATATTTTTTAAATAATAAACACTACTTGTTCAGGCATATAGAATTTATTTTTAAATCATGCATGCCTCTCACGTCTTTGTTGGAACAAAACTCTACACAACTCGTCTCGAATATTTCGTCCCATATTGGCATTTCTAAGTCCATCTTCTAGATTATCATTTTCCAGAACATTGACTTGTCCCTCATTTATGTAATTTTCCAGCAGCTCATCTTTAGCATCAACATATATATTTTGCATAACACATGCTGCTAATACGGTTCCTGGTATGTAATTCTGGCAGTTCATATCCAGAAATTTAAAACGACGGAATCTTCCAAAAAATAGAGCAAATGATCTTTCAACTGTTTGTCGTTTTTTTTTTTATAATAATGTATTAAAATACTTCTGAGCTTCTGTTAAATTACCTCTATCAATATATGGTATCAAACACCATTCTAACAAAGGATATCTCCTAGAATATATTCTCCAGCTGGAAAGTATTGTTGAGGATTATTAGTAACTGCCTTAAAAATATCTGAGTTTCGAAAAACATCAACAACTCGTCGGAAAACTACACAGAGCGACGACTTTGCTAAATCAAACCCTTCACCAACAGATCTGAAAAAGTTGAAATTTCTCAAAATATATTCACCGATTTTTCAAAGTATTGACTGTAATTTATTAGCAAAACAAAAAAGAATATAGGCCAGCCATACCGTCTGTAGCCACCAGAAACAATTAACATCAAGTTGGAAGTGAACTGGCAAAGAAGTTGCTGCCTTGTAGCTGGATGTTGAATCATCAAAGGCTAGAGGAAGACAACCTTGATCACAAATTACCTGGTCCTCCTGGTAGGGGGTTGAGGCATCGGGCTAACTCCCCGTTACTCGGAAAAAAATTTAAACTGTTAAAAGACCTGTAACAGCCTCGGAACAGGACTGAAAAACGAAGACGAACTAGGCAACGGAAACGGACAATGAGTATCGGTACATGGAACGTCCAAGGAATTTCTAGAAAATTGAATGAAGTGATATCAGAGATAAAATCAAAAAATTGTAACGCTCTTTTGTCGAAACAAAAGAATGTTCATAATTTGTGCTCGACTATTACTCAGTGGTAGTTTAGCCTGGGATGGTCCTTGGTGTTGGTACAGTAGAGAGAGGGCGCCACTAGTTTGTATAAATAATTTTGATTAACAAGGAATAGCCAAACTAGGCACTATTCCATTAATTAGTTATTGTTTAAGAAGATAAATTCAAAAAAATCTGAAAAGGTAAAATAAATCTAAAATCCAATAGCTATCTGACATTCAACCCATTCAATAAAAACACAAGCTTTGGAATTCTAAACACAATTATTTATTAATTAGAGTTCATTAAAATTTGTGACAATATGGCGAAACTTTTCTTTGGTTCAAAGAAAATTATTGTCTAGTATCAAAGTTTAAAAAAAAAATCATTAAGCAGCTTTCTAAAAGCAAAACCTAATTTAAATAAGTATAGTAGGATTGAAATTCAAAAATAATTAATAGATACCTACTATGAAATTTTCCTAAGTACAAATGATGGAGTCACAATATCATTAACCTTTAATTTCTGACCCAAAGTCAATCAAATCAATAGAAAACAATTTATTCCATTCAGAAAGGCAATAAATAATCCTTAGGCAGTTATAAATATCAAAAACCTGCTACATGAAATCAAGGCTTCACGGTTTCCGGAAGAGCTCTTACCTTCTTACCTTTAAAGTTCAAAATAGGTAACCATAAAACTTAAATTGGACTACCTAAAGATTTTACTTTAGTTCACCTTGTAAAGCTACCACATTATTGATTTGAAACTAAAGGTTAGATTTACCTCTAGGAGTTAATAAATCCCAGATATATTATATCGGTTAGTATTCGGTACAGAAGGAATAGATTTGGAATAATCATAATAATCCATAATTATTGGATACTAAATAAAAATAGCGAAAGCGATAATAAAGGTAGTTATCTGATTACGATAATGATTAATAATTAATCAATAAAAAATTACATTAAACTGTAGTTAGCTATTTTAGCCGAATACTACAATAAGGTAAACAAGTCGGTAATTGATTTATACAGATATTAATTAGCTAATCAAGTAATCAATACTGAGCGATAAAGAAAAAGATAATAATAATTAACAGTTATTGATATTTGTAAAGATAATAATTAGTTAATAAAGGTAAACGATAGGGAGCGGTAGAAAAGAGATAATATCAAGAAACTGTAATTAATAAGGCACATAAACGGGACCCATAGGTAAGTAATTATACAAGCCTGGACGAAACCCTTGGAAATTTTCAGAAATTTGAGATCCAGAAGCACCAAACTGACGGAAGGCAATCATCGAATGGTCGGGGATCAATCTCTTACAAGACACAACTTTCCTTGTAGAGGGGGCCCAGACTTACTTTGGAAATGCAGTACCGCATGGTCTCAAATTCGTCAAATTTTCACCCAGAAGTGTAGGCGTGGATTTTTAATACTCTCCCAAATTGCCTGAACGGAATGAAGAAATATAGGGACTCATTTATCAAAGGGAAAAAGGGTTTACATACCTCAACGGCCGATAATAACCTCACTTTCAGAAATTTACACAAAAATCAACAATCTATTGATTTTTCAGGAAAGGTTCCAGCTGGCACAACTACTCACTCCTCTGGCTAGTTAAACTTATCCAATTTTGGGCTCGATGGCCAAGAATGAAAACCAAAATGAAAACCGACCTTTTCAGTCTAACTATAAAATCGAAAAAGAAAAGTCAAAAGTATCAAACTGTGGTTGCGTCTTTCTTCCTCTGTCAAGCCTGTCGAAATTATAAAAATGACAGTGCTACGGGTTTTTTTTATGAAGAACCTTAGTTCGGTTCGACGGGAGTGCGAATGAAGTAACTCAAAGTGTACGGAGTGAGCAAATCGAAACCATTTTTTGATAATATAATTTTCGGTATTAGGTCAGGAAACTAGTCAGAAAATCATAGATGTCGCCAGGTGTACGGAATAGGATTTTAAATTTAGAGCAGGTAAATGCATAAGGAGTAGGAACGCGCTTGCTCTAAGATTTTAAAGGAGTCCAAAATATAAAAACTTAATTGAGAACAATTAAATATGTTCTTGTGACATTTCAAATGTTACAAAATGGATCTGCTTGTCGCCACAGAGACCAAAAAGAAAGGACAGGGCTCAGAAAATCTGGGAGAGTACGATCATTTCTTTAGCGGGGTTCAAAAAGAACTCAGAGCGAAGAAAGGAGTCTCGATCTTCATACATAGAAAATGGAGAAAACATATAACATCATGGGAAGCAGTAAACGAAACCATAATAAAACTAAATGTATGTATGTTCGGAAGGAAAATAACAATCTTGGGAATATATGGAGTGAACGACGACGAACCTGTTAATATAAAGGATCCATTCTATCAACAACTCAGTGACCAAATCATAAAACTAGGAACTTCAAGGGAAATAATATTGCTGGGAGACTTTAACGGACGAACAGGAAGAAAAATCAATGACAAGGTGATCGGAAAATTCGGAGAAAATGTAACGAATAACAATGGAGAAAGGCTTATAGAAATATGCCAACAAAATAACCTAAAAATCCTAAACGGTTACTTTCAGCATAAAGAAATACATAGGTACACATGGAAACATGAAACTAGTCAACAAAAATCGATTATTGACTACACTATCGCGAAACAGAGCTCGAACATAAAATTCCAGGATGTGAGAGCATATAGGGGAGCGACCTGTGGTAGCGATCATTACCTCCTAAAAACAAAAATCTTTATCCCGGGCAGAAACATCGCAAAAGAAAACGGAATGAAAACCCAAGAAGACAATATTGTGCCTGAGAAATACAACCTAAAATCTCTAGAAGAGCAAAGCGTAAAAGGGTTGTACATGAAGAGATTAGATCAAAAATTACAGAGTAGTATGAGCTTCCAAAACCTTGAAATGCATTACCAACATATCAAAGACAGTATTCACAGTGCAGCATTTGAAGCCCTTGACAAATATGAAAAAAAGGGAAGCAGGCCCACACCTTATTGGTGGGATCAAGAAGTAAAAAAAGACATAGAAGATAGAAGGAAGAAATACCAACAGTATCTAAGTTCAAATAAGACACGAGACAAAGAAATATATAAAGAAGCACAAGCCACAGTACGGAATAAAATAGTACACAAAAAGAACGAGTCATGGGAAAGAAACTGTGCGCATATTAATACTTATCTGGGGGGTAAAAGAAACACAGAAACTTGGAGATTACTCAGACATGAGAAAAACACAAACTAAGGATATTATCATATATAATATCACAAGAGAAAAAAATTGTCGGCAAAATTTTCGAAAAGTATGAAAGTTTGTTGCTTGGCAATTCGCAATCGCGAATGACATTTTTGACAAAATCACGAGCCGTCAGGCGAGTGATTTTACCAAAAATGTCATGAGCGAAATTGTCGAAAAGCAACAAACTTGAATAAAACCTTGAGAACAATTTTGCCTACACAATTTTTTCTCGAGTGGTATTCGTCATGACTATTTCACGTAAGATTTTGAAAATAAATAGAATGCAAAAATTTGAATAAAAACTTCAAATTAAAAATATCAGTTTGAAAATGTCAAAAAATGGTCGCTGAAATACCAAGTTGTTGGTATTGTCCAGGTAGCAATATTGTCAGGTGAATACCGAATTTATTGCCGGTGTAATACACTCTAGTGAAATAGTCAATACAATAACACCCCAGGAGCGCTATTCTGTACACGT